CCTCAGCACAGCGCTGGCCAGCAGGGCTCTCGCGCATGCTACTTCGCAGATAGCGCACAAGTGCTGTCAGCAGCAGTCGCACACTTCTCACGAATGAGCAATCCCCCTCAAAATGTGGCTGGCCAGTCCTTGTATTGACTTGGACGGAGCCCGAACGCGTCTCAGCTTCTCCTTCCTTCGGCTTGACTTGGTACTGCTACCACATGCCCACGGCCTGCTTGCTTCAGCCTTCAGGTTCTTGTGAAGGCCTGGTATTTTTCCCAATTTCCGTTGGTGTGCTGCTGCTTGGGTCTGTGAGTCACGACCTCTTGAGTTTTGACCGTGGGAAGTGACTCTTGCCTCTGGGACACAACTTTTGCCTGGAGAGAAGTGTCCTTCGCCTGTGGGATATGACCTTCCAATGTGAGACGCGACTTTTGCTTATTATGCAGTGCAACTTTCGCCTCTGGGATGTGACTGTTCTCCTCGTGCCTTCTAAGCTTCACCTCTGGGGCACCCGACTTAGCTTTTCTGAAATTGGCCGACTTGGGCCCCCTCTGCCTCAGACTTTGACCCCGAGATTCGAATTTGGGGTCTGCATGGTAGAATGCCTTCCAAAAACAACCTTCAAGTTTCTGAAGCTGGAACTAGCTAAGTGGGCTATTATCTCCTCCTACTTCGGAGAGCCAGCATCGGCGTGCAATTGATTCTCCTACTACTTCGGAGAGCCAGCATCTATCTATTCATTGCCGCGTAAGATATGCACAAAAGCAGGTGACAGGACTGAAGTCGTCACGAAACAGCAGAAAGAAAGTACTGCAATCTCGCGGTGTTCCAGACGTGGTCACGAAACAGTGGAAAGAAATTATTGCAATCTCGTGGTGTTCCATCTTGAACATTGCTGGCGGTGGCTATGGGGTTCTCTGTAATACCATAATAACAAAATAAGGCCACAAAAAAGCCATCCTGTTAGATTTGACAGAAGACTCAATTGCTTCCGGGAGGGGGAGGAAAGAAGGGAGATACTACTGTTATACCGTGTTTGACGCGGGGATGCAGCCATTCGGGTAGCATGATGTATGTTCTAGACAGTAAGCTTGGCAAAGGTCTTATGAAGTGGGGGATGGGCAGCCTTCCGAATGGTTGTGTCTAAAGCCAACACTGTCCCACACACCACACGCAACCCACTCACACGCGCTCTCACACCTGTGTTGGCTGAAGACCTTACTGATACCGACTGGGAGGATCCAGCTGACTATCTCAGTTGGTTGGCATCAAGAGTGCCAAAGGAGAGGATTGAACCCACAACCTCCTGAATGCCAGTTGGGTGCCTAACCAACTGAGCTAGGCCGCTGGATGGAGCCCACATTCTTGGATCGCAAGAGGGGGGGGAAAAAGAAAAAAAAAAAATGAAAACGAATAGCAAGCTACTGAGGGCTGTACCACCCCACACTGGGCCAGGAAAAAGGGCATTTCAAGCTCTAAACTACTAGCAGTGTATCTACCTATGTTCTACCAGAAGATTCATGCTCATTTTGCACATTTGGTCCCTAGTGGAGCAAGGCCCTTGATCTCCACAACTCTCCTGGCAAAGGTAAGTACGTTTTTGTTTTTGTTTTGTTTTCTTAGTAAGCCCTGCCAACGAGGCAGGGCAGTCCGTCCTAGATTTCGTGAACAGACCCAAATCGCCCGCCCGGGCCGCCCCCAGTTTTCAACGCGAAAAAAAAACTCTATATCCCTCAAAAGGGAAATAATGGAGGCGCCCTATTCTAAATTGCACGTCCTAGCGAAACCCATATCGACCTTGACAAAGTAACCTGCCCGACAACCAGTCTTAGGGAAGACTGCGAGTGGACCCTATTTTCTGCTGTTGGAGACACCAAACGAACCCGTCCTAGCGAAGCTGAACTGCACAACCTTACCGAAAATAGAAAGAACATGAAACAACGAAAATGAAATCCACACAAATGCAGCCTCCTGGCTGCGAATTGGATATTTCTGAACAGACAACTCTCAAGAAGCTACACCCAAGGCCCAAGGGGGAATTTTGGTTAGTAGGTAGTTTTAGTCTGGCCCCCCCCGCCCTTATAAATTTCTAAGGAATTTTGAATGTCCCAATTTCTCCCAAAAAGAGTTGGGTGCTTAGCAGTCCTAGGAATGTTTTTTAGGATTTTGGGATCCCTGCTAACTCTTCCTTGGTGGTTCCAACGCTGTTATACTCATGTTCTGTGGTCGTTCGATGCCAGAACGATGCTGACCGGTGCTGGGGTGTTGCCCTGTAACCTGCGATGCAGGAGCGTGAGGTCTGGTAGAAAGATCTGGGGAAGTCTTGGGGGGGACTTTCCACGGGACGACGCTGGTCGGAGCTGGGGTGAGCTGCGTTGCCCTGTAACCCAGCAGAAGTGGGGGGGTGAGACCTAGAAGAGACCAGTAGAGAGTATGGCAAAAAGGGGGCGGGGTATGCCAAAAGGACCCTCCTCTTCCCTCCCCTCCTGGTAGGTTTACACCCACCTTGGGGGTGAGGAGGAGGAGGTCACGATGGCTCCGCATTTCGATCGAGACTGATTGGCTCTCATTTTCTTTGTGGGCCAATCTGGATCGTCTTCGGTGTGGTTGTACCAACGACAAAAAATACACCAGTCAGTATCATGATTGACGACTTTTAAATCAATAGAGCCCCCATGAGCTAAGACGATCCCAATATAAGGAGTAAATCTATCTTGAGTCGTTTGGGATCAAGACGAATGTTTATCAACTCCGGTTCCTCTGGTCTTGATGAGGTTGGACCAGTTCTAAGGATGCGACCGTAAGTCAGTTTCACCGCATCATAAACCAGGGATATCGCTCCTATCGGATTTATAAGACTCGAATCCAGTAGAACTTATGGCGCACAATCTCTCTCCGTTCTTGCAGTTCTGCTTCAGACATCCAAGCTCTGAAGAAGATGGTGTTTTTAATGCCATCTAAAACAATGTCATCCATTTGTTTCTGATGGAGCCAAGCCACCACTCCATCAGTACTTGTGAAGTCACTAAATTGCGGCCCTAGCCATCCACATCCCAATCCACTTGTTTTCGTACAACCTAACCACCTTTAGTGTTTTGTCTTGGCTGGTAAGGAGACATTCTTTGACAATCAGTCCTTCTGAGCTTTAAATACTGTCGGGTCAACTTTGACGCTAACACAATCTTTAGATCGCTCCACTCGGCTCTGATCGTCCAAGATTCAACCGGACGACAACGCCCCTGTCCTATACCATTCTTGAATAACTTTCGCTGCTTTCATCTTGTCTACTTCCGTTTGATCAGGGGCAACGTTATTCTCCGCCATTGCGATTTCAACATTCAATACTGCCTGATCTCCACAAACATGTGATACAGGGTGGAAAACGCATCCATATCCCCAAGCAGCACTCCACTCTGTCCTCATGAAGTGATAAGGTCAGCAAGAAAGTACAGTAAGGGTAATAGTTCCGGAAGGGAAAGCAAAGATCCAACGGGCACTTTAGAAGTCAGTTACGATAGGCGACTAAAACGGCCACAACAGGCCATGATCTTCCTTTCCTTTTGGCCCCTATGATTTCCTGCGGCCAAACCAAGTCGATCCCGAGACACCCTAGAAGGATTCGGTCAACTCTAAGTCAAAGCCAAACCCATGCAAAAAGGAATATCAATCTATGGGGCCACACCTGTCCAAATCAATGACACTTCCAACATATATTAACCGCCAGTAGGAGATAAAGGAATTCTTTCGACCTCTTGTCTTCGCAAAAGGAACAGACCGATATGCAATCCAGTTGCATGGGTTTGGCGTTGACTTAGAGTTGACCGAATCCTTCTAGGGTGTCTCGGGATCGACTTGGTTTGGCCGCAGGAAATCATAGCGGCCAAAAGGAAAGGAAGATCATGGTCTGTTGTGGCCGTTTTAGTCACCTATCGTAACTTCCCGACCCCGTGCTATCTTTCGTACCCCTTTGGCTTAAATCTTTCCCTTGTATCATACTAGCCCAACAAAGCCCCCGTTCGTTTTCTTGATTTCGGGCGCCGTGTTTGGGGCCCCCATTTTTCGGAAGTCCTATTGATTCTTGGAATTCTGCTTTTTGTAATTCGGGAAATGCATGGGAAATTGCGTGTGCACCAGCAATCGGCCTCGACAGTTAGGAATTCCGGAATAAGCAGAGTTCGACATGTCCTTTTTGCGCATGAATGTTCATGGTCCCGTCGGAGAAAACTCTAAGAATTTTGTGAGAATACGGACAACTATGTTCCACGCTGGCCGCGGCCGCGGCCGGTTCGGCCGAGTTTTTTCGGCCTCGGCCTCGGCCGATCTGGGGGGCGGTTTCCGAACCGGAGAGCGGGTCTGGGGTGGGGGGGTGGGGGGGCACCCCCTCACAGCGGCAGAGCGTCAAAAAAATAAAAAACGGGGGGGTCCTGCGCATGGCCCTGGAAGGGTGGGGCGCGAAAATTCGTGCGTCCCCCACGTGCGGGTTCATCGATGCGGGGTCGCAGGGAAGAGGGTCTCGAACACTAGAAAAAAAAAAAAAAAAAATTTGACCCCTGCGGGGGCGGCCCAACGGGGGTTGGATGAGGGCCTGGTTGAGGCGGCCTGTGCGGCCAGGTCGGGTCGAAGCTGGACGGGGCTGCAGGTGGCAGACCCCAGGCAGATCAGGGCCTCAGGCAGGCGTCGATTTCATTCGTGAGGGTGATGACAGTTCGTGACATATTTTGAAACAACACATTCATGGCAATCACAGGCCAGACCTTAGTTGGCATACCAAAGTCACAACACATTCACAATCAATCACAGTGCGGCCAACCATAAGTTTCAAACAATGTTAACAGGCAAGTGGGTCATAGAGTCATAGTGTGTGTTCACTCATCAGACTGGTGGAAGTTTGTGTAAGAACACATTCATTAGCACATCATTCCTATTTGGCATCCGAAATTAACAACACATTCATTATGGAGGCATCCATGACATGCAGGTGCGTGGCATCAAAGAAGCACATAATTTGCAACAATCACGACAACAAACCAGAAACCACTCACCACACAACAGGGACTCAGATGCAAAACCAAGGTTGAGAGAGGAACACGAACAAGAGCAAATATATGACAAAGCATTTCAATGAAAATGTGTTTGCACAAGGCTGAAGCCAAAAACTGGACCCGTCGTCTCTACTGTACAACCGAGTAGCAAGAAAAAAATTGGACCCTACTGACAAAGCATTTCAGTGGAAATGCGTATGTATAAGGCTGAAGCCAAAAACTGGACCCGTCGTCTCTGGTGTACAACCGAGTAGCAAAAAAAAAATAATGCGTATGTATAAGGCTGAAGCCAAAAACTGGACCCGTCGTCTCTGGTGTACAACCGAGTAGCAAAAACAAAAAAAAAAAACTAATGTCCACATACTGTCGTCGTCTCCATGGAACAACATCGACATAAATATGCAACAACCCTGCGGAAAGAGCGTTCAGGCTGTACAGCCACGCAAAAAAGAAAAATAACTAATGAAAAAAAAAAAAAAACCACGGACGTCGTCATCTCCCTCCAAACACGCGCGGCCTCTTCCGGAGGATGGGCGACCATGCGGTTCTCCCCGGCGCCTTCCTCTCCCTCCCGCACCTGTGCCCCGTGCCCCGCTGAGGTATGCCGCCTGTGCTGCTGCGGCTGCTGCGGCCACCTGTGCCCTGTGTCTGCGGGCCACAGTCTCCATCGGCTCGAACTCTGTGTCTGCATCCTCGTCCTCCGCCGCCCGTGCAGCGATCCCCATCTCTCTCTCCCTCTGAATCGCGTCCAATGCTGCCTGTCCAGCGGCGACCCCTGACGCGAGTCGAGCCTCAACCTCCGAGAGGCCATGCTGTCGTCTCGTCCCGGGACGCATCAACAACCCCTGCTCGCCCGATGTGAACTGCTCTCCCCGCATCATGTCCATGCATGCGGCCTGCCATATGCAGGCTCGAACGTCCGGACCCACCCTCCACGGCCTGCATACGCCCTGCGTCTCAACTGGCGTACGTCCGCTGAAGACGCCCCTCCCGACGTCGTAATCCGCCCACAACTGGTCTCCGACCCGACGAACAGATGACCATCCGCCACCCACACCAGCTCGGACTGTCGGCGGGGAACCGCCACTGTGCGCAACTTCGGGTGTCGCTGTCTGGCCCCTGACGTCGACCCTGGCCTCCGGAGGGCATGCGGGTGCTGGAGGCATCGATCCTGCAATGTCTCTGCCGCCGTCGCTGCGTCTGCCGGAGCCCACGTCACTCGCTCCGGATTCCCTCCCTCTCACGCCGCTGAGCGACGAACCCGACCATCGAGGGCTCTACACCACGAACGGCGGCGGTGAATATTTCCCTCCAGGGGGCCGTCTCTTGCCGCTCCTGCGGCCCGTGTGTGCGAAAGGGTTATCCGTCAACGCTTGCGCCAAAGCATCGACGTCGAAGAAAATGTGCGCTAAGTCGTCAGGGCGCAAGGGAGGTACTGCGGGGTCCCTCAACACCAAGGCGAGCCTGTACGCATCGTCCTCGGGACCGTGGTCGTCGTCATCATCTACGTCCGGTCCACCGTCTCCCCCGACACCCGCAGTATCCCCATCTCCACCGGGTCCACCCTCTCCTCTCCCATACACGGCGGCACCTTGTCCCTCATCACCCGCGGTCTCGCTGTCGCCACGCCCCCCACTAGGGGACCCACCGCCCACGACAACATCCTGCCCATCATCACCCGCGGTCTCCCCGTCGCCGTGTCGTCCACCACCTGACCCACCACCTGCGCTTGCATACTGTCCCTCATCATCGAACTCCCCCTGAACTGCCTCCTCAGGGACACCCGAGTCATCGACATCACGGCCGCCCCCCGCTCCTGTCTCCAACTCCCTCTGCCGCCGCTTTTTGTCAAGATACGCGAACCGACCCTCCGATCGTGGCAAACTCCCCAGCCGCTCCTCCTCCTCTCGGTCTAAACGGGCATCCCTCTCCTCCTCGGTCTCAACAGGGCCCCGCACAACGTCCGCGTCGGTGCGCACCTCCGACGGTGAGGCACGTTGACGTCCCTCGACACTGAAATCTCCCAAGCTCCCACCAAGCCCTACGGTGTCAAAGTCGTGTGTGCGGAGCACCGACGGCGAGCAGGGGCGGATACCAGCGTCGGAAGGAATCCTCTCCCCCCCACGATCCTCGCCGTCATGTGCCCGGTTTCTGCCTGCTGCCGACGCCAACCTCTCCGAACGCCTAAGTGCCTCGGGCTGTACAGCGCTCCGATGATGGGAGGGAGAGAAGCAACGATCATGAAGGGGCACCCGCTCATCCTCAGCCTCCTCCTCGGCCTCGCTGTTGCTCCTAAACTCCCAACGCCTGCCTGTCTGCCGAAGACCTCCCCGTGGCTGCTCCTCCCCCCAATTGTCCACGCCAACCTCCGCATGCGAACGGCCTCCACAACCACCACCGGCTCTGCTGCTGCCACTCGCCTGTGCGGTCCATGGCGCACCACCAGTGATAACTGATGTGAATGAATCCATGTCGTCACGACCCCCACCGTAAGTGAAGCACACCCGCTCAGTCGTCGGGTCGCTACTCAGAGGCGTGTCATCGTCGTCTGTCAACTCGTCGTCGATGTCGTCATCCGCCGCAGCAGCGTCCACATCATCCCCACCCTCTGGCCACGGTCGCAGCTCCGTCGCCCTGATACCGAACACGTCCCGAACCGAATGGGCTCTGGACGGTCGGCTGTCACCGAAAGCGACAATCTGCCGCTGGATCTCCTGCTCAGGAACACTGCCAGCAGGTCGCGCTCCCCACACCTCGGGCTCCACATCTCCGTCCTCATCCTCGTCCTCTGTCGTCGTCCCCCCCGACCGGTCCCCATAACCCATGGCAACATGTAGCCACCACCCTGCCGTGCGCACGAGGCCAGTTTGAGATTGGTGGCAAACTCAACCAGCTGTGCAAGCTCGGCAAACCCAAGCTTGCAGCGCCTCGCCGTGTTGATGCGCTCGTGCGGTGCCCAGTTCCTCTCCGCTGGAGAGGCAAGCAGACGTCCACAAGTGCATGACATGGATGGCGATGGTGCGCAACTCCGAGTGCACGTCCATGCTCAGACCACCACGCTGCACATCGCTCGGTCTCGCTGTCCCCCCTGCAATCGTCTGCCTCGGCATCGGAGAGATCACCTCCCCAATCCTCTCGCCTCGAGTGGAATGCCCTCATCTGGTCCCTCACGGTCCTGTACAATCTGCCGACCGGATCGTTGCCGGTCTGCGCCAAGAGAAATCTGTCGCACTCCTCGACCACACAGCGGTCGTCGGCGGTCGTCTCCAACGAATGGTAATACGTGAGGGACCGTCGACGAGGGTTGAGGAGGTGCCACGACATGTGCGCGCTCTAGCATGTAGAGGTTGCGGATGGTAACCTCACGCATGCACGGCTCGATCATGTCCTCCGGCACGTCCACCCTCCTCATCAACTATAGCACATGCTGACTCCACTCGTAAACGACGGACATCATCATCCCCCCCCTATCCATCCTGCGCAACAGTTGGTGGACGGGCGACATGACAAGGATGGCGTACTGGACACACCGCCAAAACTCCTCGTCCCGGATCTGCTGTTGCACCCACTGCGCCTGAGATACATGTTTGCGCTTCCACGGGATGCGTGCCCAAGCATCCCCATGCAACATGCTATCCAACACGTCTCGTCGGCCTTTGAGACACGTCAGCATCAGGAAAACCGATGTGAACCGTGTCTCAACGGGCTCGACGAGCTGAACGCGAGGGCTCACCTTCCTAAACAGGGTGTGAGCAGCGCCGTGCGATTTAATAAATCGCACAAGCGCTCGAGCGAAGATGATGGTGTCCTTTACCCACCCCACTCGCGTCTCGATATCTGACAACATCAAGTTGCAGACATGGGTGGAGAAGGGGAGCCAAGTGATCCTCCTAATATCGGGTTCGGGGTCAGTGGCGAATCTGCGCGCTGCCTCCGTATAGTTACTGGCGGAGTCATAGCAGAAGCCGATCACGTCCTTTGCAGGAAAGGACAAGATGATGGCCCGCCACCTACTGTACACGATGTCCACAGTGTCTCGGACCGACCCGTCGCGTGCGACGGTGGCGTATAGCAGGGCGCCATTGGCGCCCTCGGCGAGGAAGTTCACGAGCGGCTTGCCGCTGCGCGACTTCCTCCTGTCGGAGAGGATGGAGGCACCGCTATGCCGGAAAGCGGCGCGCACCTCGCTCACCATCGTCGCCACCTTCGCCCTCTGCGAAGGGATACCGGCGCCCGCTGTGACCCTGGAGGAGGGAGACCGGAACTCGATACTGCGAGGCACTCTCTCCGCCACCTGCTGCACCTTCTGGAACTCCAGACCATAGGAGGCGTTGAATGGCAACCCCTTCACGTAGATCCACTGCAGCCACGCGTCTGTGAACTCCGCCAAGTTCTCCTTGGCGTACATCTCGTCAATCGTGGTCTGTCAAGACCTCTTCTCCCTTCACGTGTCTCGCACCTCGACGCCAGCCTCCCCAACTGCCCTCTTCTCCCTCCTCGCACGCCCAACTCACGTCGCGGTGCCCTAGGAGCGGGACCCGCTCGACCGACGCCTCTCGACGTCATCACCACCTCCTCCCCTGGCAGGTCAGGTTCTCCGACTCCCTCGTCTGCCTCGTCTGCCACCCCCCTCTCCCTGGCCCCACCCTCGCGGCCCTCCTCCTCATCGAGGGCATCCTGAATCTCGTCCCTCTCTGCGTCGTCCATCCGTTGTCGCTAGCCACCCGCGGACGCTCTCGTGTCCTGTATCAACTCTCGTGCATAGGACTTTCTTTCTCGCGTCAACTTTCGCGCGCAGATATGGTGATTTCAATTTTTGAATTGGTTTAGGACATAGGCAAACTGTAATTGTTTTTTGTGTCTTTTTCTCTTGTTGTCGGCGTCGCGCATGCGAGCTTCCTCCTCCTTATTTCCCACATTGTTCTTTCTCTCGCCCTTCTCTCTCTCTCATTCCCCTCCTCTTCTTCTCTCATCGCATCTGTTTTTCCCTCTCTCTCTCTCTGCTCTTTGCGCATTCATTTTCCCTTCTTGATCATCTGAATCTTGGACCCGTCTTGCGCTACTTCTCGCGCCTTTTTCCTTCTCACTCTTCGAACGTAGATCGCGAAGCCCGGTCGATCCTTCGATTACTCCCGCTCACCAATCAGACACGTGGAACGATAGGATCTTCCTATTGCGGGACGAATCTGATTGGTTGAACCCTGAGTTTCGAAGGGTCAACATGGCTTCCATAGAGCGCCCCCCACTAAGTCTTCTCCTCCTGCTTCTCCTCTTACACTTCGACTTTCCCTCTGCCTTCTCCTTCTTCTATCTTTCTTCTCGCAACTATAAATTTTACAAGCGCGTCCGCAAATCTCTCTTATGTTCCCAACTCCCAAGCCAGCTTCCAGGAAGCAGTGGCTAGGTGATGCATTGGATGCGAGTCGGAAAGTCCCGTCGGGCGGACTGTAGGCTGGCCGATTACGCGCTTGATCGCCACGACAGACTGTGGGATCTGGGCGAGCCGTGTCGAGCTTGCGTCAGTGGGGTGACAATCGCAGCGGCGGAAGCTAGCACGAGACGGCCAGGATCGTCGGTGCGGGAATGAGGATCGCTGATTGGAGTTGAGTGGATGATTGGCCCGGGGCCATATTGAAATTTCACGGCGAACGCGCCTTCATTGTTGAGAATCATTGTCTTTTGTGTGAGTTTACGGCTGTGAAGCCGAACGTTCTCTTTCGGATCTCAGTGTCTTCTATCTCGACCTTCCTCCCCCATCTCTTCTCTCTCTCTCTCTGAGCTGAATGACGCTATGTCATGAGTATCTCCCTCCCGTGAATGAAAGTGAACTTGTGTGATTTCCTGCTTGGAAGAACTTCTTCCAGAACTCTTCCATTAGTTTCCTAGGTAATCCCTGAAAGTAGGGGAACTCAATCTTCTTGTCTTATGCACGGTGGATGTGTGTGCACGATCCCCTGACTTATCTTTGATCGGTGAAAGGAATTGTTGTGCCTCTGTCATTTTCGCACCTTCCACAGTGGATGTATGCATGGAAAGAAGAATGCTTGTTGTTTTGATAAGACTCCGAACTTGATGGGATTTTGTTCGACAATGCAAGAGTGTTTAGATCTGTCGTTCTGTGGCACTGCTCATGCCATCTGCCTTATGTTGCACGATATCTACAGCCAGCGTACGGGGCAGCCTTGAAAAAGCAAGGCGCCTCGGATCAATGCCGATCTGGCTTATTGAACCAAACAGGCGCTATAAGTTGTCTTCCTCGCGTTGAAAATATTAGTTCGTTTTTATGCTTGTGCCCTTTTTTTTTTGTAATGACGTCTCGGGATTTTTGCAATTGATTGACATGTGGACTGGCGGATGCCTTTCGATCGGGCGTCAGCCTCCCGTATCTCCTACGCCAGCATGCCCCTTCCCTTACGACGAGGAAAGGACACGCATATGCGAGTGGGACGTACGAGAAGCTGTCACACGGATTGGCGGACGATATTACTTCCCTCTAGAAAATCGTTGCTTTAGATTCGTGGACGCGGGCTTTGTCATTATTGATACGCACATTCCGCCTTACTCGATACTGTTGTCATTCAACGAGCTGATCGTCATTCCGTGGACGGCAGTAGAACCCCACTGGCCTCGAACTCTGTGCACTTAGTGCCAGCGTTTTGATCGCTACGAATCAAAGGGCTTCCACTACCGTATACGGAGTGAAGACGAGCACAGGGAAAGAGCCACGCGGCTGAGACCCTCCACGTCGGACTCGGAACTGACCAGCGAGCGACATTGGGACTTGGTGCGAAGCGGGACACGCGAAGCGTACCGAAGCCCTTTCACTCTAAATGACGAGCCATAGCACGGTGGGAAGTTCGACAATACTTCTTGGATTGAATTTGGATTTTTCTCTTTTCGCGCCGTTTCCAAGTGTGCATTCCACGACGCGTGAAAGCATCCGACTTACTTCATCGGACCAACATGGGGGATTTTAGTTTTGTCTGTGTCCCCACACTCAATTCCCAAAAATCCTTGGCACACCCCATCTTGTTGTTTTTCCGGGCCTTCTTTCCGCACTCTTAGCACTCCGAATGGAAGACAGCACAGGGCGTGAGGTTGGTATCGGAGTCGACATGTGTCGGTTCTGATGATAGTAAATCGAGATGGCAAGAGGTAGAAGAAGTCCTCAACCTGCTCGTCGAGATCGCCCGGTGACCAGATCAAGATCTGGTGAGGCTAGACTGGTTATGCCAATGGCCGACGACAACGTAGCACCCCCTAGGGTGATTGTTAGTATTCCCACCGCTTTTCCTTTCTTTCCCAATCACACCCACCCCGAAGCTTGGTTAGAAGTCGTCCAGGCTCAAGGTTATAGCGCGAAAGATCTCCCCCGCGTCTTCACCCTGTTGCTTTGTAATACGGCACATGATTGGTTTAGGAAACACAGATGGACCGATTGGAATATCTTCAAGTGGGCATTCTTGGCCAGATTTGATGCAGCCAGCGAAGATGCTGCTTGGTATGTACTCAAAACCCGACCACAAGAACCAGGGGAATTGTTGTCTGACTTCGTGGAATGATTTCAAACTACGTTGGACAAGTCAGGGCGAGACGAAACTTCCGCCCTATACTTGTTCATCGATCACCTACGAAACCCGACACTGAAAGCGAAGTTGCAGAAAAAGGTTCCGCCTAAAACGAACCAGTTGTCCGCAATCATCACCAAAGCACTTGAGTTAGATCTAACGGATAAAAAGAAGTATATCGGTCAAGGAGAAGAAGGCATTACGGATACGATTCAGGATGTAGCGACGAAACAACGGTGGTGGCTACGAGCGGTAGGACGATTCTATCCCTGCCCTGACCATGACCTTCCTGAGGGATTCGCCTCTGATATCCCGCGAGCTCCTTCTCCCCCTCCACCGACTTTCTCTATGAACCAACAGGTAGCAACGGTTAAACCTAGAGGCTCTCAAGATCCTGCCTCTATGTCTATAACTAACATGCACTTAGCACAGATGATTCATACAACTACCACCAAGCAATCTGAATGGATGAGCAATCTGGTCCAAATGCAGGCGGCTCACATGGATCGAATGGAACAGATCATGAGCAGACTGATAAAGCCCAACTCGGCTCCTGCTGGACCTACCCCTGCATCATTCCCCCTTTTGACCACCCCGCCTGCTTCTGGACACGCACCGCAGCTCCCTCAGGCAGCTTTGGCAGGGAGGATTGAATGTTACAATTGCAAACAGCCGTGGTATTTCGCCCGGGACTGTCCACAGCCAAAACGAAATCAGCCCCCTCCTGCTGCAGCCCTAGTAGCTTTAAATCAAGGACGGGTAGCTGCATTAATGGATACACCCCGAGACGAGGGAATCATCGCCTATGCCCCAGAGCGACCCCCCCCCCCTCAATGGCAGTTGCATCGACCTTGGGGACTTCTTCTTCCAAAGTTGCTGATGTGGTTGATCCGGCAGAGTACCTTCATCTTGCCGGCATGGTCGGAGCGATCCGATCGGTCTGTGACGATCTTGAATGGGTCGAACGCGAATCTAACCCCGGACCACAGTTTCGTACGGGGGAAATTGACGTGCTACGAACGCTTAAGCAATTAGATATACGCGTTCTGATCCTAGTGGGACATTTGCTCACCATATCCGAGGCTGCAAATGACCAGCTGCTTCAACATTGTCAGAAGAATAAAAAGCGCTTTACATACCAACGCATACAACGCATATTGAAAAAGAAGAAGGAAGGAGAAGAAGAGGATGTGGCACAACCAGAGCCCGAAGTTGATAAAACCGAAGCCGCGCGAGTAACTACGATTTCTTTAGCAGAGAAAGATCATTTTGTGCGGGCTCGACCGGTGTTATGGAAAAATGTTGAATGTGATTGTGAAGTGTGGGGCAAACCTTTCAACGCCCTCATAGATACTGGGTCCTCCGCAGTGGCTATATCATTAGATACAATAAGAAAAATGGGACGACTCAACTCAATTCTTCCTCAATCTGGCAAAGACAACTACGTCTCTGCTTACGAGTAAGCAATGAATATTATCGGAATTATTGAGGATATGACCGTAAAAGTTGGACGAGTACACGTTCTCATTAACGCGTTGGTCATAGATATGCACTCATATTCGGTGTTGTTGGGACTGCCTTGGGCAATGGCGGTAGGTGCCAGCATGCATTTTGATTCCAAACAGTTGGTGCTTACGCAAATAGGAGGAAAGCCTCAGACTATTCCGCTACGGATTTCCACCCAAACTGTAAAGAAGAATCCTGGTTCTGGTCGAGTAGGAATGATTCAAGGTCCAGAGGAATCTCCATCCCCGGATGATAGCATTGGACTCGAAGAACAGGAGCGCGAAGAAGAGATGCCTAGTGAGAGTGAGTGAAAGCACTTAGTTTAGCTTTTCGAGCACGAAACTCAGGAGGAATTTCGGATGGTTCCCAGAACCACACAAACTTTCCACCTGAGTCTGGAGGATAACACATCTACTCCTATAGATACCTCGGTCGGTTCCTCGAC